GAAATTTTCGGTAATGTTGGACTAAGGGAGTTAAGGAACATCTGTTATAGTTGACTACACACGAGCACTCAAGAATTTTATTTTTAGACCGATATTTTTTTTGCACTGCCTTTGTTGGAGAAGCCTAAAAAGCTTGAACAAATGGAAGATTTCAGAGGACCGAAATAAAATGTCTAGTAATTGGTCATTCTAGTTGCGTCATTTTGTCCGCACCCAAATGAGATGCCAAAGCATATTTCGATATTTAAAAAAAATGACATTTTGGGTTACCAAAACCTTAGAAAGGAGGCCAACCTAAAGCCAACTCATCCATTTGAACATTTGTCAAAGATTTGTAACTCTGAAAGCATTAAAAGAGCTCTTGATTCCTTTGATATTTTTTGAACTCACATTTACAATTTAATTCAATTGCGAACAATATTTTACAACATTTTTATCATTTCTCTCTCCTAAAACAAGAAAAATGAGAAAAACATTTTCAAGCAGAACAGTCTCAGATATGAAAGGTCTGTAAAGTCAAAGCTCGGGAAGCAAATAGGGCACGATCCATTCCAAGGACCAGATTGACAGGCTAAACATGAGACTCCATCCAAGAAATAACACATAATTCATTCATGTTGCATGCATCTTAGACATACTTAGGTGCATCACATTCGTCATTTTGGCATACATGATTTTTTGCAGCTTTTAGAATCAAGTTTCAACTTCAGGATGAAAGATACTCGATTCACAAGCGCCTTTGAAGAACGATGGTGTAACTCAGCAGCAAGAAGCTACACCTCAACCGACTTTACATATCTACAGATCTCAGAACCAATTTCAGATGGGTTCGAGAACCAATTCAGATCAAATTCAGTTCAGCTCAACTCAACAATGAGCAACATGTTTCCAGTTTATGTCTTCAAGCCATATTTCAATTCCCCGACGGAAGATATTTGGCTGTCAGAATTCATCAACGGGCTTTCCCATAAAATGGGAGTCATCCAAAGATTGTCTTACTTGGTTCTCGCTCAGAGGAACCACCTGAAGAATCATGACCGGCTTCGACCCGTTAAGGGAAGCCATTTTTTTAAACAAACTATTTGCAGCATAGCTTAAGTCGAGAAGGGCTATCTGCCAAAGTCCCCCGAGTTTGATTACACTCAGCTTCGAGGGCACATCATTTACAGCATAACTCAAGGCTAGAAGGGTTATCTGTGACCAAAAGACCTTTGAGTTCGACTACGCTCAGCTCAACGGCATATCATTTGCAGTATAGTTTAAGTCGAGAAGGGCTATCTGCCAAAGACCCCCGAGTTTGATTACACTCAGCTTCGAGGGCATATCATTTGCAGCATAACTTAAGTCGAGAAGGGTTATCTGCCAACCAAGGACCTTTGAGTTCGACTACGCTCAGCTCTAAGGCACATCATTTGCAGCATAGCTTAAGTCGAGAAGGGCTATCTGCCAAAGACCCCCGAGTTCGATTACACTCAGCTTCGAGGGCACATCATTTGCAGTATAACTTAAGTCGAGAAGGGTTATCTGCCAACCAAAGACCTTTGAATTCGACTACGCTCAGCTCAACGGCACATCATTTGCAGTATAGCTTAAGTCGAGAAGGGCTATCTGCCAAAGACCCCCGAGTTCGATTACACTCAGCTTCGAGGGCACATCATTTGCAGCATAACTTAAGTCGAGAAGGGTTATCTGCCAACCAAAGACCTTCTAGTTCGACTACGCTCAGCTCCAAGGCATATCATTTGCAGCATAACTTAAGTCTAGAAGGGTTATCTGCCAACCAAAGACCTTTGAGTTCGACTACGCTCAGCTCAACGGCACATCATTTGCAGTATAGCTTAAGTCGAGAAGGGCTATCTGCCAAAGACCCCCGAGTTCGATTACACTCAGCTTCGAGGGCACATCATTTGCAGCATAACTTAAGTCGAGAAGGGTTATCTGCCAACCAAAGACCTTCGAGTTCGACTACACTCAGCTCCAAGGCATATCATTTGCAGCATAACTTAAGTCGAGAAGGGTTATCTGCCAACCAAAGACCTTCGAGTTCGACTACGCTCAGCTCCAAGGCATATCATTTGCAGCACAACTTAAGTCTAGAAGGGTTGTCTGCCAACAAAAGACCTTTGAGTTCGACTACACTCAGCTCAATGGCACATCATTTGCATCATAACTTAAGTCGAGAAGGGTTATCTGCTAAAGACCTTCGAGTTCAATTATATTCAACTTAGAGGCAAACCAAGCTTACAGAATAGCTCAAGGCAAGAAGGGCTATCTGTCAATAAAATTATCGAGTTCGATTCCATTCAGCTCGATGACACATCATTCACTACTGTCCGGTTGCATTCGAAGCTTTCAAGTCAAGAATAAGACTCGGGTTAGCCGTGCCTTAGTGGCAAGAAACCGCTTTCCGACAGTATAACTTAAGTTGATAAAAGCTATCTGTCAGCGAATACCTTTCGAGTTCGATTTCATTCAGCTCAAAATCAACCACTGGGTAGAGTCCAGGTACTATTTTCCATTCGAGTTTTAACCAAGGTCTTTAAACCGGGAAAAATACCAAAGTTGGCTATAATTTGGCAACGAGAAGCCACGTTCCGATTCAAATTCCGAACTACAGCTTCAATTCCAAATCATTTCACGATGGACTCGACTTCACGACGGAGGAGCCATCCACAACCCAATTCGACAGGGAGTTATTATTCATCTCCACCGAACGAAAATTTGTGTTTTTTTATCTTTGTCCTATTTTTCGTTCCACGAAAAAGGAAAAAGAACGAAAAATAGGACAAAGAGGGGCAGCTGTAAACACTCATTTTCGTCCATATTTATTTATTTATTTATTTGTTTTTTATTTATATATTACATAATTTTGAAAACATTTTGAAAATATATGATATATAATTTTTAAAACATTTTAAAAACATTTATATATTATATAGTTTTAAAACGTTTTTGAAAAGAAATATAATATATAGTTTTCAAAACATTTTTGAAAATATACATATTATATAGTTTTTAAAACGTTTTGAAAATAAATATATAATATATAATTTTTTGAAAAACATTTTGAAAGCATATATAATATGTAGTTTTTAAAACATTTTTAAAAATTATATGGTTTTAAAAAAAACACTTTTGAAAATTATATAGTTTTTTAAAATAATTTTTTAAATTTATATATAATATATAGTTTTTAAAAGAAACAGTTTTAAAAATGTATATTATATAGTTTTTATATTTATTATTATTATTATTATTATTATTATTATTATCATTATTTATTATTATTTTTTATTACTTATTTTATTTTATTTTTTTCCCGTTTCAGGTCCAAATGGGTCAACTATCCAGTCCAACAAGTCACGGTCAGGGTCCAAACACAGATGGGCCTGATCCAGCCTGGTAAGTTTAGGGCTTGGAAACCCTGAATGATATCAGTTTCAACGGCGCCGCAAAACCAGGGAGATGAACGGCCAACAGTGCCAACGACCGGCCGAAATCCCCGGGACTGACCCATCCCGGGGTGACCGGCCACAACGGCCACGAGCACCCTTATTTCGGAACCGACAGGCCTCCGATGGGGGTATAAATACCCCGGTGAGGCCATGCAAAGGGGGGGTAGCATCGAGAAGAGAAAAACACAGAAACCCACGGCGAGGGATCGACACCAAACGTCAACCACACACAGAACCACAGTACATCGAGAGCCATAACCAAACACAAGTCCAAACGAAACACAACCAGAACGCAAAATAAACCAAAACGGAGAACAAAAAAACCCACGAGGAACACTAAAGTACACAGAGAGAACAAACCGAGGCCAACATCGCACCAAACACCATCAACACAACAACACCAAGTATCAACAGTAAACGAGAACACAAGAACAAGGCGAAAACAGAACAAATCGAGCCATCACAGTGAGATAAAAAACCATTTAGGAAACTCAACACCAAGCAAAAAGAAACAAAAGATACAAAAAGTCTATTGTAGATCTACGGACTTTGAGGCGTTTCCAGACAAAACGAAGCCCGGATTCGTATCCGGGAGTGGAAGGCGCGTCGAAAGGAGACACCTTTTTCTCCTCAGGCACCGACGGACGACGGACGTCGCCGGTTAACGGCGACCTAGGCGGTGAAGCTTCACCGGATTCTGGGCTCAGCCGAAGCTGTTGAGAGAGCTCATCCTCTCCTCTCTCTTTTCTGGTTTTAAGGTAAGGAAACAAATGGTGATAAATGAGAAAATTAAGCCTTGTGATAGGGTTTATAAGACAAATGTGAAACGACGTCGTTTTAGCCTATAATACCCGCGTTTTTAAGCCTTAAAGGGGGTAATACCCTTTTTAGTCCCCGATCTTTGTAATATGGCCATTTAATCATTTAATGGAGTTTTGATTTTATGTTTTGGGCACTCATTCATCCTTCGTTTATATCTTAGTCCGTGTTTTATTTATTAATTATTTTATTTATTTATTTTGGCTCATTTTAGTTGATATCTACTTTCATGACGTTTTTTACAATATCTAACCTTTCATTTTTTTCTTTTTTTTACTAATCTTCTTTTTGGTTTATTTTGTTAGTATTTTAATTAATTATTTACTTTTATTATTATTATTATTATTATTTTGATTTATTTAATATCTTTTTTATCATCTAACATTTTCTTTAACATTTTCAGTGGTCCTTTAAATCGGTCAAAGGTAAACAATTCGAATCGAATATTTAAATTCTAATTTAATTTTTTTTTCGCATTCAAAGACAACCGATAAATTAATTGGTACCGAAAGGGCAGTTCAAGGGTGCTAATCATTCCTTGACCGTAATCGACTCCCGAACTCGACATGTCTCTGGTGCAACGCAGATCAGGTAAGAAATAGGGTATCCGATCAACCCAGTTGTTTTAAAATAAATGATCGGTAGCGACTCTTAACCCAATTCATTATCAAGTCGAAGCCCAATTCCGGGCCCAACCAAAAGACGATTACGACAATACTTTTTTTTACGCCAACACCACTTAGTCCCTTCAAACCGGAAGAGAAAAATAAACCTCAATTCCTTAACTTCCGAGGGTTTCCACTTAGGGTTTATTCTTCTTCTTGGATCTAGGACTATTGGAATCTTTGGTTTTGGATAATTCGTGATATTTACTCCTTTGGGTTGCTTTTGTTTTTCTGGAGGGATTTTATATTGTTAAATTTTTGGAGTTCGGGGTTAGATTATAAAAGGGAAATTCTCAATAGCCAATGCCATATTTGGGTAATTGGTATTTGAAAGGTTTATTGTCTGCGTTTTTTTTTGGTTTGGCGAGACCGAAAAAAGGTGATCAATGTCTTGGGCAGGCCCTGAAGATATCTACCTCTCTACTTCTCTTGCCAGTTATCTTGACAGTATGCCTGTTCACTCTTTTGTTTTTGCTGTTAAGTTTATTGTGTCCTTTATTCTTCCCTACAAATATTGTTTCTTTCGGCATTGGCTTTGAGTTGTTCTAGTAAGTGTAGTTGTTCTGTCTTATATGCTGATGGGTTGTTGAATTTCTACTTGTATGCTTAATCTCATGTAGGATTCTTCTTCATTTAATTATTTATGATTCTGCAATCCACTGGAGAATTTGGATTTTGTATATGATGTCTTTTTGGATGATCCGTATATTAGTTAATAGTCCACAAGATTTAGTAGAAGCCATTAATTAAAAGTTTGATTTAATTCTATTAGAGTTAAGTGGGACGTGGATGAGTCTTTGGGGTTGTGGAAGAAAATTGAAACTTTTTCAAGCTTCAAGGTATTGGCCAGTGGCATGACTTTTTGTATTGATAGTCATTGTTGTGGAGCTATCTGAATTCTGATATTGTCTCCATGACTTTTCTTTATTTTACTTGTCATTGCTGCCAAGCTTAGATCTTTGTTAGAGCATTTAGATGTAGTATTAGAGTCAAGGTTCAAACATATGTTTTGAGACTATTTTGTGTTTCCAGTTGCTGATATCTCACTCTTCCATATATGATGCAGGGAAACTTTTAGTGCTCCTGCGAGATGGTCGGAAGCTTATGGGAATATTGCGCTCATTTGACCAATTTGGTAATGTTTTCTTGTCACCTAACCTTCTGGACCTGACATGCCTACCAGTTTTATCTGTTCCTGACAATTTTAAATATGTTTCAGCCAATGCTGTTCTTGAGGGTGCTTGTGAAAGAGTTATAGTTGGTGATCTTTACTGTGATATCCCTTTAGGTCTATATGTAATCCGTGGGGAGAATGTTGTCTTGATTGGTGAACTGGTATGTCGTTATTAAGTTATATAATTTCATTGATTTCCATTAGCCTTTTTAATTTGTATCACATTTTGGAATCTATAATTTGCATTTAATTTTTTAGGATTTGGAGAGAGAGGAACTTCCTCCGCATATGACTCGTGTTTCTGTTGCAGAAATAAGAAGGGTAAGAGTCATTCTTTGATTTCTTTCTATGAATTATGTGTGTCCATTAGCAACAATATAAGAGTTTCCCTGAGAAAATTTTGGTTCACTGAATACCCATAAGTTCGTCTTAATCTTCTTATTTCCCCTGACCGTCTTAAATTTCTATGTGAACATGCATTATTATTATTATTATTATTTACGATTTTGAACTGCTGCCATGTAGAAAAACTAGAGAGTAACATTAATATACTTTGAAATCAAGACATTCAGATTCTTAGATACATTTAACTTTTAAGCATTCACATCGATCTTCAACATGAGGATGGTGGAAGATAATGGTCATGCAGTGAATAATTTTGTTGTGTACTGATATTGGTCAAATGGGAGCTTAATCAGGTATTTACTATGATGCTGTCCATAAATTCTGATGTCTGTAATAAGGAAGTCCAAATTAAGGAAATTCTAACCATCTATCATACATGGAAAAACTTTTGTTTGGAAAAATCATCTTCTTCACTGATGATAGAAGTAAAATGTCTGTACTTGTCTGTTGGTTCTTTTGATGGTATGTTTGTCAATATGTAGTTAACTTTCTGTTATGGTCGGAGAAGAAGAAGAACGGCAAGGAGAGGAGGATTTGGGAATGGATGAGCGAGGAGAGAAATTGGGAATGGACGAGCAAGGGGAGAAATTGGGAATGGATGCGCAAGGGTTAGGGATTGGAAAATGTAAATTGGGAATTGAAGCACGTGAAGGGCATATGATTAACTTACCGGATGAGTTGGAGCAGGCTGAGTGGATCCAGGAAGAGTTGGAGCAGTCCGAGTCAGAAGGCCAATACCTGCAGAAGAAAGGAAGGGATAAGTAGAGTTGTTAGAATATGTTATAAAGGACAGCCACCTGGCATTATTAGAATTACCGTACAACCATTGTAACTAAATAAGACCTGACTTGAGGCATTTTCTTCCTCATGCAATGAATGAATGACTGTTTCCTTCTCTCAATTCTCTCATTTTTTTCTCGAACCTCAATCTATTTCTCTTATTCCATAACAAATTGGTATCAGGAGCCTTAATTCCTGGCAAATTGCAAACTGGATGTGCAAAAGAAAAACCACACCATTGTAGAATCTACTGATCTCTCTGCCATCAAAAAGCAGATTGAGGACTTAAAGAAAACAGTGCTGCAAGCAAATGAGGAAACCAACCCTCCCAAGTGGTGGGAGGCACAAGATAAACGTATCAGTTCGTTGGAGTCTAGGATGACAACGACTCAAAGCTACATGGAGCAGATATTGGGGATTTTGACAGGGAGGACGAAGGAGCAAGTCCAAAACAGCCCTGGAATTGAGCAGATGTTGCATATGGCAATAGAAGATACAAATGATAGGTATCAAGTGTTCGATAAATTGCCAAAACCAAAGGTAGATGTACCAGTGCAACAGAGCTACCTGTGGTACAGTTCAAGCAGTGGTGATTCTGATTCCCAGGTCACCAGACTCTACAAAGACAGAGAGCAACCTGTAGCAGGAAATTACTATCCAATTAACCTTGGAATTTATATGGTGGATAAGAAATTTGAACTATCCGTGTTGGTTGATCGTGCCACAGGAGGATCAAGTATTAAAGATGGAGAAATGGAACTCATGTTTCACGGGCGAATGATTGTTGATGATTCGAAAGGAGTAGGCGAAGTCCTGACAAAAGTGTCTCTGCGGGAACCACAAGCGAGGTACTTGATTTTCAATATGATGAAATAGTGAGTGTAGGTTATTTCAATGCCATTGAGACTATAAAGAACCATGTAGAAGATGATGACCCTTACAAGTTTAGATTATTGCTAATGGGAATTAATCTTAAAGATGCGCTAATAGAGGTCAAGAAGATAATTGGAAAGGGCAGTGGTTTTGTAGCTGTGGAGATTCCATTTACTTTTCCTGCCAAATGTATTTTGGAAATTTCGTGGGAAGAAGCCCGCCAACTTGGCCATAACATATTGATCCTTGGGCATACTATGGTTATGAACACTCTACAGGGTGAGTGGGTCTCTGTTGTTGATGACTGGATTCCATGTGAATCACCTGGCGAACTAGCATTTGCGACCAACAAGAAGGCTAATGAATTATGGGTTTCTATATTGGAGAAGGTGTATGCAAAATTGCATGGTTCTTATGAGGCACTAGAAGGCGGGCTTGTTCAGGATGCACTTGTTGATCTTACTGGAGGTGCCGGTGAGGAGATCGACATGAGAAGTTCCGAGGCCCAGTTGGATCTTGCCAGTGGTAGATTATGGTCTCAGTTGTTGCGATTTAAACAAGAAGGATTTCTTCTTGGTGATGGAAGTCCATCAAGCTCTGATGTGAAGGTTTTTTCCAGTGGCATTGTACAAGGACATGCGTACTCGTTACTGCAGGTAAGAGAGGTGGATGGATACAAGCTTATTCAAATTCGAAACCCTTGGGCTAATGAAGTTGAATGGAATGGTCCATGGTCTGATTCATCTTCGGAATGGACGGATAGGATGAGGCACAAGCTGAAGCATGTTCCTCAGTCAAACGGTGGTATATTCTGAATGTCATGGCAAGACTTCCAAATTCACTTCAGGTCAATATATGTATGTCGGGTCTATCCTCCTGAGATGCAATATTCTGTCCATGGATAATGGCGTGGTTACAGTGCTGGTGACTGTCAAGATTATAATTTGTGGCAACAAAATTCCCAATTACGATTGAGGGAAACTAGTCCAGATGCTTCTTATCCGATTCATGTGTTCATCACCTTAACTCAGGGTGTTAGCATTCTGGAATTTTTGAATGAAAAGATAAGTAAGCTACTCTCTGGTGATGACACTAAGGCAGTCCAGAAAATTGTTATCTCCATCGGGCATATGTGTGTGAAAGAAACTTCTGCTTCTAACATGAAAATTGCGCTTGATTTGATTTTCAGCCTTTGTCGTTCAAAGGTTGAGGATATTTTAATTGCAGCTGGAGAAGCTCTATCATTTCTCTGGGGTGGTGTTCCTGTAACTTCTGATGTGATTCTCAAGACCAACTTTAGTTCACTTTCTATGTCTTCAAATTTTCTTTTGGGTGACACATCAATGAAGAAAAACCTGGTTGATGCACTTGTTACCACTTTGACTGGTTCTGGAAAGAGGAAAAGAGCGATCAAGTTGGTTACTTGGAGGTATTTCAAGAGGTCACTATTGGTGAAAGCCTTAGTGGAGGGAAACTTAGCACTTACAAGGAGCTTTGTAATCTTGCAAATGAGATGGGACAACAAAATTTAATTTATAAATTTATGGATTTGGCTAATTATCAAGCCTCACTAAATTCCAAGAGAGGTGTTGCTTTTGAATTTTCTGAGATAGCCAAGCAAGCCGGTGATGCTCTTCAACCACATTTAAGAGTATTGATTCCAAGGCTTGTTCGCTACCAATATGATCCTGATAAAAATGTGCAAGATGCTATGGCACATTTATGGAAAGCACTAGTGGTTGATCCTAAGAGGGCTATTGATAAAAATCTGGAAATTATTTTTGATGATCTTCTAATACAATGTGGATCCAGGCTTTGGTGTTCTCGTGAGGAATTGGGCCTTGCCCTTGCAGATATTATCCAAAGTCGAAAATTTGATCAGGTTGGGAAGTATTTGAAGAAAATATGGGTGGTTGCTTTTCGTGCTATGGATGACATCAAAGAAACTGTGTGAAATGCTGGTGACAAAGTATGTCGTGCTGTAGCCTCACTAACAATAAGGCTCTGTGATGTGTCCCTTACTGAAGCATCAGATGCAAGCCAATCGATGGATATTGTTCTTCCCTTTTTGCTTGCAGAAGGCATATTGAGTAAAGTTGACAGTATCAGGAAAGAACTATGGGAGTTGTTAGCTTCAATTATAAGAAGGAAAAACCATGGGCAGTCTATGGTTCACTTCATTCTCAAACCCAAGGAAAACATGAATCAAAGGTTAAAGGCATGGGGTGTGAAGGGACAAAGCAAATGGAAATTTATAGAAATTTGAAGGTCGGGGGTCGAGTTTACTTGAAATTCCAGTCTTACCATCAAACCTCACTTGCTCTTCGAAAGGGATTAAAGCTGGCAGCAAGGTTCTATGGTTCTATAGGGATCGACAAACGTAGGGAGCGGGAACACAATCAGATACCGTGGATGAAATTAGAATTGGAAAAAGTTACGGTGGTAAATTATATTGTACTTCTAGCACAATTCTCAGATTTTGAGATCATCTCGTGGGGCGGGTATTGTTATGGTCGGAGAAGAAGAAGAAACGGCAAGGAGAGGAGGATTTGGGAATGGACGAGCGAGGGGAGAAATTGGGAATGGATGCGCAAGGGTTAGGGATTGGAAAATGTAAATTGGGAATTGAAGCACGTGAAGGGCATATGATTAACTTACCGGATGAGTTGGAGCAGGCTGAGTGGATCCAGGAAGAGTTAGAGCAGTCCGAGTCAGAAGGCCAATACCTACAGAAAAAAGGAAGGGATAAGTAGAGTTGTTAGAATCTGTTAAAAAGGACAGCCACCTGGCATTATTAGAATTACCGTACAACCATTGTACTAAATAAGACCTGACTTGAGGTATTTTCTTCCTCATGCAATGAATGAATGACTGTTTCCTTCTCTCAATTCTCTCGAACCTCAATCTATTTCTCTTATTCCAGAACACTTTCTTGTTAATTAGTTTGGCCCTTAGAAGAATTGAAGTTTATAAGAAATTGGTTGTATCGGACCTCCTCTCAACACAGTTTCTTGGGTTGGATTGGCATGGTTCCTACGGTGGGAGTTATTTATCAACAGCTGCATTTTCATAATTCTCCAGATGTGATATTTTATATATACACAGATTTCTAGTGCATTTTTACGCATCACTATCAGTTGAACTAAATGTTCAAAATGTTCAAACACAATTAATTAAAATATCTTATTGGTCTATATTTTCTCCCAGCTTGTTATTCTTTATTGATGGAAACTCTGTTTTTGGCAAGAATATATCTTTATATATAAATATATGTTTTGAAGTATTTATAGTTGGATTTTGAGTTTCATCAATAAAAAGCACTGAAACTTGTGCAGGCACAGAAAGCAGAAAGCGAGGCAACAGATCTCAAAGGTACAATGAGGAAAAGAATGGAGTTTCTTGATTTGGACTAACGCATATTCCCTGCAACCTGTTTTAGGTATCCACAAGTTTTATGGAGGAGGTTGGTGTAGTAGATGTGTTGTGTAGGCTAGAAGATCCTCCATCTCCCTCTCAGCATCCAGTTATTGTAACATTTGTGAACAATGCATCTGACAAGGCTTAGCCTCCATTTGCTGGTGCCTTAAATTTAGTTTTGGACACTAGTTGGATATTTTCACTTATGGGTATTCTCCGAAGTTATTTTCTCTCATATAAGTGTTTTGAACAATACATCTGACATGTTGAATTAGCTCCATCCTCATACGGAGGCTTTGGTTTGAAATGTTGGAATAATATTTAACAAAAAGAGAGAATATTCAGAAGCATGTAATGAGATGATCATCCTGTTAAGTAAATCAAGAAATTACTCTACTTGCTCCAATGGTGGTCCTCACCTTGTCATCGTAATTTCTTTTTTAACCGTCACCATGGAAATTCAGTAATTTTTTAAATATAAAAGTAAATGTTTAAATTATATCATTTTTTCCATTTCAACTTTACAACGTTATCATTTTAAGTATCTTATGGTAAATATTGTTAAAAATCACATTAAGTGACATGTGTCGTATTTTGATAATTTCAAAATTTTTATTTTTAAAAAAATTAAAAATAAATTATTGTATTTCAAAAAATATATTTAAAAAAATAAAAAAAATTCCTCCCACCCCATCCTCCCTCTCCCTAATTTCCAATGCCTGACGTTAAATCTACCAGCATCGTTCATTGTTGGAAAAACATAGGGTTAGATATTTAGGTGTTTGGGATGACGTTAAATCAATGATCTTTGAAATGGAAGGAAACTATTCTCGACACTATTGGCGGCGGCGTTGGTCTCTGTCCAGCCGTTGATCTTTTTTATTCTTTTTAGTTTTTTTTTTGGTATTCTCAAGTCTTACTGTTTATAAGTAAAAGTAGTTTCCCGTAAGAAATAAGCTCGTCAGTTTCTAGTTATGTTTTGACAGACACAGTTGCAGAGCAAAAAAATCCATGATTCATTAGGACCATCATCAGAGGGCCACACATATGATAAGATGAAAGACCACACTGCAAGGAGTTGTATATTGTTTTGTTTGTTGAATTATTATTTTAGTGGAAGTAGTATTTTCCAACATTTTAAATATCTTTGTAGATGTAAGAATTGTCGACGAGGAATAACATGCATATCTTCATTCTCTTTCCACCCATCTTTTTACAGCGACCTGAAATTTCTACAGAAACACTTGTCATATCATTGTCGAAGTCACTGCAACTCAATCTTCATTCAGAGTTATATACAGGGAAAAGAAAAGCAAGTTTGCAAATCACAAAATCCGAAGCTCGTGTATCTCCTGTATCGTTCTAACGGCTTCTTTAATGCCTATTCGCTCCTCGAGACTAGTATTAGTGCAAAGTGCGCCTACACGAAGGAGTTTCTCCATGCTACAGATTGAATTCCGGCAGCCCTCGATCTTTGTATCAAGCAATTCAGCCCGTCTCCCTTCTGAAAATGCCGACGCCACCCATTGGACGATATCAGTCACTCCATTTCCATCGTAAACAGATCGTGAAGGGCGTTCCCCTGTAAGCATCTCAATAATGATGATTCCCAGGCAATATACATCACTTTTAGGGGACACTCTTTGCTTTTGTATGGCTTCCGTGGTTTTGTAAGCAAACAAGCCTTCTAAACCTTCAGCGTTTAGTAATGGGTGAAATCCATAGTCGGAGAGAAATGGATTATAATCAGGACCGAGTAGAACATTGCTTGATTTGAGATTTCCGTGAGGCACGTCTCGTAAAGCAAATTCGTTGTGAAGATACTCGAGTCCCTTCGGTATTCCTCGCACAATCTTCACTCGGGTCGGCCAATCAAGTCCACCTCCAGATTCGCCATCGCCTGGAGGATTTCAAGGTTTTATTAGAATCAATGGATGGAATTGTGGTTAAGAAACAAAGGTAAAAGTTATAATTTCGTACCATGCAAATGGTAAAGCAAACTACTGTTACGAAGATACTGGTAGACGAAGAGTTTTTCTTCTTTACGGTAATGGTAAGCTAAAGGTGTCAAAACATTGGGGTGTCTTAGCGTTCCGAGCTTTTTAACCTCAGAATCAAACGCATCGCTCCCTAATGCATTCATTTGGTGCACCCTTTTCACCGTCACCTCCACTCCATTAGCCATCCTTACCTTATAAGAAGACCCCAATGGTCCGTTTCCGAGCACTTCTGCGGATGCTTTCATCAAATCATTCAATCCGAAAACACCCTTTTCATCGTTCACGGTGACTAGTTCTGCTACACTGGCCTTTCCGTGATTAGAAACTCTACTTGTCGATACTCGATTTTTCATCCCGTTATTATTATTATTATCATTATTATTATTATTTATTAATATTAATATTACTTTTGTAGGCCATGCAAGCAGCCAATCATCATTTTCTTACGTGAGATATTCATACACAGGATTGGTGAAATATCATTTTCTTACATCTAGGGGTGGACCATACATGAATATGGCTTTTGCATTATGTCCAAGTGGATTTTCCTTTTCCCATAAGTCAAAAAAAAAAAATGACAGATTTGGCACCACCACTGAAAACTACATGCCACACCATCCATGCTTCCTTATCTTCCATCAAAAGTCAGCAAAACATGCACCAAATCAGCCACCCAAGTCAAAAATATTCGACAAACCTTTACCTAAACTTTGAAATAAAAATAAATCCCAGAAATTATGGATTAAAACATACATGCTTCAGCACTAATCCAAGGAAGAAGGAAAAAGATGGATTCGAAGCAACCATAAATACGAGGGAGAGTGCAAGAAAAAAGGGGGAGGGGAGAAACAAATTGTAATAGGGAGGAGGCCATTCGAACCACCAGAGGCAAGCAAAACAAAGGGGAAACAATTGTAACCGAAAGATAGGAGGCTTACACATTGTAAATCAATGCAAGAAAATGATAGTGTAATCCACCATTCAAGAACAAGATAAAACAATAGAAATACAAGAATTTTTGAGGTATTCTAATTGGGTTTTCTTTTTATTTCTAACTCTTATTTGTTTGTTTGTATCGTTTTGTAAAAAAAAACAAAATAAAGAGAAGGTTGCTTACCTGAGCCATACGTAGTAGGGGTTGGGGTTCAAGTATAAAGAGTTGTTCGGGAGAACTTGCACTGGGGTTATGGGGTTTAATTTTTTTGATAGGGATTTAAAAATAAAGAGTAAGAATGAAAGAAAGAAAATACAAGAAAAAAATTGAGAGCAAGAGTGAAGGGAACGGTGCAAGCAAAAATAAAAAAAGGTTTTAATTGGGTTAGTGATATAATAATAATTGTTTGGTATTTTAGTACAAAAATATGTAGGTTAATTAAACCCACGTGGGAGCCATTTCATCTAGGTATGGGGTGTAGTAATATGATAATAATTATTTAGTATTTTAGTGCTAAAATTGGTGGGTAAATCAAACCCACGTGGGTGGCCATTCCATCTAGGTATGGGGTATTGTGTTTCTACATAAAAGTTTATTAATGTAAGGCCTCATTCCATTTTTCTTTTCTTTCTATTTTTGTCTCTATGTTTTATGCATGTTGTATTTTAGTCTTAAGCTAAGTTATTTCAAATGTTTTGTTTTTTTTAATACTTAACCTAAATTTTTGTTAATTTATATTTTAGTCCAGCATATAGTTGTGGGTTTATTTCGACTTTAGTGCATTAAATGTGATTATTTGTGTTCTATGACTTATTTTTGTTTAATTTATGATCTTAGCCTTAGAGTTATGTGTTTATTCATATCAATCATTATGTCGTTTTTTTTATGATAATATGTAAATAATATCATTAATGTACAGAGTTTGGTGTTTTGATTAAATAGGTTTCACATAAATATTATTAAATTATATTTATTTTAAGTATATTTTTCACAATTAGTATTAATTAATTTGTTACGAATATATTGTTATAAGTTTTACTTTCATTTAATTTTTTTAAAGTTAATTAATACCATGAATATTATTAGAATATATGTTTTTTCATTAAACCCGAAACTTCATTGGTGTTAATCTTGTTAATTTTTTTTTGTATTTATAGTTGCTTTGACATGTTTGTATCGTTTTATTAATTAGCATACTGTTGTATTTTGCATGATAGCCTCATGTACATAACTTGACATAATTACATAAATTGACTAAGGGTAATATTCGAGCATTTTAATATTGTCGTAAAGTGACTGTCTTAACGTATAAGAAAGTTACTTTCGATAATTTTAAAATGAAAGTCTATCCTATAAGTGACACCAATTAAAACATATTCATTTTTAAAATTTGGGGACTGAGGAAAAGATCGTATTCTTTTAATTAAATTCATCGAGAAAAGACAGTTAGATCGAATCTATGGTCTCGTCTCGAGATATTTAATTAATTGAATACCCTTATTCTCATTAAATATTGGTAAATAAATAATTAATCAATTGCTTGATAGTTTTTTTTTTACTTTTGCATGTGTTTTTAAAAGGTTTTCAAAATAACAATGTTCGATCATAAATAATTAAATATTATTATTTTATCTCTAAAAATTATTTTGGGTGTTATTATTTTTGAAATTTAGAATGAAATTTTAATATTTTTTATTTCGATTGGAGTAAGAATCGATTGCTTCAAGGTATGATAGATCATTTCTTCTCGATAGGAAATAATTAAATATTATTATTCTTTCATCCAAAATTTTGAAAAATATTATTTTAGGGGATCATAAATCAAATTAATTTTGAACTTATACATTTTATTACAAAAACAATTAATTAATCGACTAGGTACCGATTTAGGGCATTGTGGGGGTGCTAATTCTTCCCCATGTGTAACAGACTCCCGAACTCATTTTCTGGTAACACGGACCTAAATTTGTTGTTTTAATTAAAATTAATTTTTATTTAAAATGACAAAATATTTTTGGGTGCTCAATCACACCTTAATCAAATATTGGTGGCGACTCCTCGAACCGTATTTTTATTATAAAGGAATTTCCAAATTTTCGAAACGAGAGGTTTTTTAATCACATTCATTTTTAATTTAAATTTAATCTGAAGAGAATAATTAAAAATTGGTGTGGTTTCCAAAATCTCACCCGGAAAAAAACTGTTTCGACAGCTTGGCGACTCCACTGGGGACTTTTTTAGAGAGTCAGGCCAATAATTGATTAATTAATTGTCTTTGCAAATAAAAAATACAAGTTCGTTCTAATTTGGTTTTTGATCACTTGTTTTGTTTTAAATAAGTTTTGTTTGCTTTTTGACTCTTAATTTGCTTAACCACTAAATAGTTGTACTGATCTGTTTGCTAATGTTGTCAGATTAAATAATTGTTCAGGGTCTTGAGTTTTATGTTTAGTGTTGTTTGCTTTGTTTCGCTTTTCCTCACACAGTGCACAACATTCGCATAACATGAGTTAAAACCCCGCTCCGTCCTATTTAAGTAGGAGAAAGTAACTAATCCCTCGTGTGGTTTTCACCTCCGTGCGGGATAGTGAAATGCTCCTTGGGCTCACGCCTTATGATCCTCGTGAGGTTTTCACCTCCGCAATGACATAAGGAAGTGTGTCCCCTCAAATTGAACTCAATCCGAAAGCTTGTGATGGGCCAGGATTGAGGGTTCGGTAGCCCAAGGGGGCACCGGCAAAGGACAATTCGAGGACCCTTTACTTTAGAACCGAACCCAGCATATAGTGAACATAGAGCCCAAATTTAGGTCGAGCCTGACTTGAAACTTAGTAGTCCCGTGAGGAGGGTACACAAGGAAAAGTTTTTGAGTCATTTATTTTCACTTTTTGAATAAATGTATGCGAACTAGAAATCAGGCGGTTAGGATTATTTTCCTGAACAAACATGTGAATTAGATATCATGCGGTTAGGATTTTTGTGAATAACAAAAGCATATGGGTAGAAATCATGACTGGGTAGGATCTACTAAAGCATGATTGGGTAGCTAACATGTAGGGTAGGTTTTATCGATAAATTGATTTATGTTTAGTCAATTCATTTATGATTACTGACCGATTTTCTTTCTTTTTGTTTACTTTATCCTCATCTTGCATTGCACTATTCATTTCATTGGTGTTGATCCATGACCGATGTCCATATAGAAGACTAGTATTATGGAACGAATGATTCAAAAAGTAGAGGACAATGTAGACGTCTTGATATGGTCCGAGCAGTCTCAACTAACAAATGGAGACAGTTTATCACCAGGGTATATATCAGAGCTGAGAGGGTATACTCACATCAATGTTTGTCAGAATGATCTGAACGAACTGAAAGAGATTTGGGGAAGATGGGAAGTGTCCGATAAGCAATTGTTCTATCAACTCCATGGTGACATTTCATATCTCCTTGATATCCCGATTGATCGGAATTTGTTTAGAGCTCTAGCTCAGTTTTGGAATCCCGCTTATAGCTGTTTTACATTTGGCCGAGTAGACATGACACTTACTATAGAGGAGTATTGTGCCTTGATTCGCTGTCCGAGGTTCCAAGTAGACAAAGTATACACCAAACCCCCAAATACTCCTTCATTTAAGAAGAAACTTATTCTGATGACTGGCATGAGTGAAGAATGGGTTATGAGAGGCATAAAAAAGAAAGGAGACCGCGAATACGTTACTTGGACCCTTATGAGAGATTTGATTGATTGTCATCCTGATCGAAGAAAAAGATTGACTTCTTTGCTCTAGGTATCTATGGATTGGTTATTTTCCCGAGAGTTCTCGGGCATATTGATGTATCAGTGGTAGACCTGTTCGAAAGATTGGATAGACATGTGGATCCTATTCCAGCTATTCTGGCAGAAACATTTCGTTCCCTGAGCTCTTGCCGAAGAGAAGGGGAAGGACGATTCATAGGTTGTGCACCATTGTTGTTAACCTGGATCCTTAGTCATTTCAACACGTCGAGAGAGCACCTGGTCGGGTCTTCTTAAATGGTTTTTCACCGTTGAAGGATTTTATTTCTCGGCAGTGGCCTGGGGTTTTACTGAGGAAAAGTGGATGATCATTTTCAAAAGTATCCGAGACAGTGACATATTATGGCGTACCTCATGGAATGTCTCATCTGACATATTGTATCGATGTGGAGATAGAGATTGGGTTCCATTACATGGTATATGGGGATCTGTAGGGTATGCCCCATTATTGGTTTCCCGACAATTTGGGTCGAGACAGTTTATTCCGGCAACAAGGGAGTTATCTAAGTCTGAGTTTGCATTCAGGGGAGAACTGTATAAGAATAAAGTTAAAGGGATCACTGATGCTTGGAGACACACCCATCGGGTAAATCTCTTTACTTTTGAGTCAAGGCTATCTCGAGGATACGAGGAGTGGAGAAGAAACCGAGTTAATGATAATATTCCAATAGGCAATCAAGAGAATATCCAATCTATGGAAGAACACCTCAGGGTGATCCCGTCTCCGCTCGAGCAAGCCAGGCTTGATTTTGAGACAGAAATGAAATAATGGAGAGTAACTTTGCAAAAGCTAGAAGATGAAGTGTATCAGAAAGGGCTGGAGACTGACATCCAAAAGTGTCGGGCTGATCGGATAGAAAAAGTGGAGAATCAACTTAGATTGGATTTCAATGACCTCCATTTATCACACCAGCGAATGATCAAAGATTAGGCATCTGCTAGCTCTTGTAAGTCTTCTACTGAATGGAGGTAAGAAGTGGCATGACTGAAAAGAGAAGTTGGGGAAAGCAGTGAAGAACTCAAACGGAGTAGACATCAGGCCAAATTACTCTTGAGAGATAAAAATGCCCTTGAACAACAATTGTAAGAGAATCAGACCCATAATGAGAAATTAAAGAATAGGGTCTTGAGCTTAGAGACTGTTTTGCAACGATATCGAAGTCGAGAAAGTAGTTCACATGCTAAAGTGAAAAGATTGACGAAGCGTGCGAATAAACTCGAGGCCTTAGTTCAAGATTTGCAAAGAAGAGCAAATGAACTTCCATTGGTCCCTTATGAAGGAGTTATGCAATGGCGCTATCGTTAGGAGCAGGCTCAGCGGAGAGTTAAGCAAAGGGAGGATCTCATTGCAAGATACCTACAGCAAGCTCAAGGAGTGGCTCAACTTGGTTGATCTGTCACAGGAAGCTGATAATGTGATTGAAGAACTGGATCCAGAGGCAGAAGAAACCAGAAGATAGTGGAATTACTGGGACATATCCAACAATTAGGAGAGATAGCTCTATTGTATCTGTGATCTGTTTAATCCTTGTAATTGAGCTTCGTTTCCTATATAAAAAGTTGTTCTAAGGAATCATCCCAGAATCAACACATTGTATTGCATTAATCTTGCATCTACATTGTATTTCCTTTTATGAATAACATTCTAATCACATTTTTCACACCTCATTAATAAAATATCATGATTAATAAAAAATATTGTGGCAGAATACTGGACACTTATAAGCATACATACAACACGCGAAAAAAGGCAATGAATGATAGAATTGTCAATATAGAGAAGGTTCAAGCTGAAATGCAAGAGAATTTAAAGAAAACGCAAGAGGAAATGCACGAACAGATAATGAAGGCTCAAAATGACATGATGGCAAAGTTGGTTAGTTTGCTACAGGGAAATAGTGTAGTCCAAGGAGAGGCTCCAGTTATCGGTCCTGCTGCTGAGGAACCTTTATATCCCCCTGGCTTCACACCACCGTATATACACACACAACAAGCCACGACCATCTAACCGAAAAAAATACAAGTAAACCTACCTGGTTCTTCCACGAACCCACAACCAATTGAAGATGTCCCTGATTTGGATGAGGAAGACAAAAAAGAACATGATAAGGAGATTAAGAAAGAATGGGAACAAATAATGAATTCCGAGCTATGAAAGAAGATGCTAGCTTATATGGAATTGACGCCAGAGAACTAAGTCTGGTCCCCGATTTAGTGTTACCACCGAAGTTCAAAGTTCCAGACTTCGAGAAATTTGATGGCACCAGTTGTCCTTCTGCACACATTACCATGTTTTGCAGAAAAATGACAGGCTATGTGGGAAACGATCAGTTATTAATTCATTGTTTTCAAGAGATCCTGGCAGGCTCAGCAATCCGTTGGTACAATCAGCTAAGCGGCTCAAATTAAATCTTGGAAGGATTTGGCTAAGGCTTTTCTATAGCAATATAAGCATGTAAAAGATGTGAGGCCGAACCGAATTTTGTTGTAGAGTATGGAAAAAAGATGCAATGAGAGTTTCAGGCAATATGCCCAAAGGTGGAGAGATGTGGCTGTACAAGTTCATCCACCATTAGAAGAGGAAGAAACCAATATGTTTTTTATAAATACTCTGAGGGCCCCGTTCTTTGGACATCTCATTGGAAATTCGTCCAAGAATTTTGCTGACATAGTTAATACAGGAGAAATGATCGAGATGGCGATCAAAAGCGGGAAGCTAGACGGGGGAGAATCCAGCCGAAAGCCTCCAGTGAGAAGAAAAGATAATGAGGTTAGTAATGTGAAGAAATATGATTCTAATAACATTACAGTATCTCGACCACCGGCCACTGCGTCGTCAGCATTAAATCCTGTCCAGCAAGGAGTGAAAGAACCAAGACAGGAAAGAGAAAGGGTTCAATTTGACCCTATCCCCATGACCTATAAAGAATTATTCAAGATCCTGCATGACAAACATGTGGTGTCACCTTACCACACTTCTCCAATACAACCTCCTTACCCAAAATGGTTTGACATCAATGCTCAATGTGAGTATCATGCGGGTGCATCGGGGCATTCAATTGAAAATTGTTTGGCCTTTAAAAAGTTGGTGCAGAGATTAAGAAAAAGAAATATCATCAATTTCGGTGATAGTGAGCAGCCGAATGTGGCTCAGAACCCATTGCCAAACCATGCAGGGACAGGGGTTAATGTTGTTATTGAAGAAAGAGTGAACAAAGTCATAACCAAAGTCAATGAAGTGAAATCACCCATGCATTGGGTATGGGGGCAAATGGTAAAAATAGATTGGTTGACCTTTAATGTTAACGGGAATAAGCATGCTTGCCCCTACCACCGTTGTGAGGATCATGTCATTCAAAACTGTGATGAGTTTAAGGCTTTGGTTCAAAGGCTGATGGATAGTAAAGACATGGAATTTTACCATGAAGCTATGGAGGAGGAAGAGGTAGAGATTTGTGCTTCCGAGGGTACATCCAAAGGAGTCTACAATTCCAACTGCCCTCTGGTTATTATGCCGAAAGCCCGTACAGTAGAGAATATAACCCCAAAAGTGATGATCATACCCCCGTCGTCCTTTCCCTATAAAGATAACAAACAGGTCCCCTGGAGGTACGAGTGCCATCTAGGTGATGTTGGTGTTTCAAAGGGTACCAAGGAAGAGGTGGATGAGGTAGGCCACTTCACCAGAAGTGGGAGGTGTTATTCTCCTAATCCAACCAATGAACCCGAAAAAATAGCAACCCCGGATAAAGGAAAAAAGGTCGAGATACAGCTGAAAGATGATGAGCCAACAATTAATGAGCCTGTAACTGAGAACGAAGCTGTGGAGTTTTTAAAATTTTTGAAGCATAGCGAGTACATCATCGTCGAGCAACTACACAAGTTGCCAGCTCGCATCTCAATCCTGGCTCTACTATTAAGCTCTGAGGCACATCGAAATGCCTTGATGAAAGTCTTGAATCAGACTTTTGTGCCAAAAGATGTGCCAGTAGAAAAGATAGACCGGTTGGTTGTAAATATTCAAGCAGACAATTTTATCTCTTTCTCTGATGATGAAATCCCGTCCGAAATGATAGGCAATCCTAAAGCCCTGCACATTACCATCAGGTGCAAGGGACATGTGTTATCGCGAGTACTAATCGACAATGGCTCTGCCCTGAATGTGATGCCATTAGTGACATTGAAAAAACTGCCGGTTGATAGTACATACATGAGAAATTGCCAAAGCATCGTTCGAGCTTTTGACGGAACAAAGAAGGAGGTGTTGGGGAAGATCGATATTCCTTTAACCATTGGCCCATCAACCTATGAGGTCGAATTCCTTGTAATGGATATAATGCCTTCCTATAACTGCTTGTTAGGAAGGCCTTGGATCCATCAGGTAGGAGTTGTGCCATCCACTTTGCATCAAAAACTCAAATTTGTAATTGAGTGGAGACTGGTATGCCTTAATGCTGAGGAAGATATCATTGCTTCCATATCTACTACCGCTCCATATGTCGAAATAGATGAAGATGCGATCGAGTGCTCTTTTAGAGCCTTGGAATTCATTAATGCCACCTTTGTTGCCGAAAGAAAGAAAATTCCGAAGCCTAGGCTATCCAATTATACCAAAATGGAACTGAAAATGACTATGGGAAGAGGAGCCAAGGTTGGAAGAGGGCTAGGAAGCCCCCTACAAGGAAATATTAGTCCAGTTTTTCCTGGTATTAAGCGAGACCGTTTTGGTTTGGGATATCGCCCGACCTTAAAGGAAAAGTTAAAAAATGTTCAAAAGAGCCAGGAAAGGAGGAAAGCCAGGTTAGTCGGGGAAGATATTAAGTGGGAACCCATGAATTTCCCATTGTTGCGTGACACCTTCATATATGGGGGCCATATGTTTCAGGGGAGTCGATCATCAAAAGAGTATGTTATTGAAAATACCCTGAAGGATTTGGGCATAAATGTGATATCAGAGGAAGGAATCGAACACGGAAGGGCTATGGGCATCTACCCCGCACCACCAGGCTTTGTGCTAAACAATTGGACAGCAGAAGAATTACCTGTAGTTTACAAAACTATTTCAGAGTAATGCACAAAAACTTTCCCTATTGTCTAAACCCTGAGGCAATAGGTGATCTCTTGTAAGGGGTTAATCTATCTGCTTTTTATTTTAATAAATGATGCATTCCTGTTAATTCACGAAATGGCAAATATCATCATTTCCATTCTTTTATTTATTTATTTATTTATTTCTTTTTTATATATTATTATTTCATTCTATTTTGATATGGGATAGATTCTCCTTTATTTGTATATGTATATATCCTCTCGTTCGTTATTCTTTCAGGACCTCCGATATCAATAGTATGAATGCTGATGAGTCTGACCTGAAGATAGATTTCGAGTTGCCCATATGTCAAGGGGAAATTGAAGGTTATGATAGTGATGAGGGAAGCCACTTATCTTCTGAACTACTAAAAATGGTAGAAAGAGAAGATAAACAAATTCTGCCTCATGAAGAGCCCATTGAGATCTTGAATCTAAGATCAGAGGAGGATAAAAAGGAGATAAAGATTGGCACCATCATATCTGCTCAGGGACGACAAAGTCTGATTCAGCTGCTTCGAGAGTACAGAGATGTGTTCGCTTGGTCGTATGAGGACATGCCAGGGTTAGATACTGAATTAGTGGTACATAAATTGCCAATAAAGCCTGAATGTAAACCGGTACAACAAAAGCTCAGAAGGATGCGACCCGAAATGATACTTAAAATTAAAGAAGAAGTAAAGAAATAATTTGATGCTGGGTTCCTGAAAGTAGCCAAGTATCCAGAATGGGTAGCAAATGTCGTTCCAGTACCAAAGAAAGATGGGAAAGTTTGCATGTGCGTCGACTACAGAGATCTTAATCGGGCCAGTCCGAAAGATAATTTCCCTCTGCCACACATAGACACCCTGGTGGACAATACAGCTGAAAACTTTCTATTTTCATTTATGGATGGGTTTTCAGGTTACAATCAAATAAAGATGCATCCAGATGATATGGAAAAAACTACATTTGTCACCATGTGGGGTACGTTCTGTTACAAGGTGATGTCGTTCGGACTAAAGAATGCAGGGGCAACCTATCAAAGGGCCATGGTAACACTATTCCATGACATGATGCACAAGGAAATCGAGGTCTATGTCGATGATATGATTGTTAAAGCTAAAACGGAGGAAGAACACATCGAGAATATGAGGAAACTCTTCCAAAGATTAAGGAGCTGCCAGTTAAAACTCAATCCAAGCAAGTGTACCTTCGGGGTAACATCGGGAAAACTCTTGGGGTTTGTAGTAAGCAAAAAAGAGATTGAAGTAGATCCTGACAAGGTCAAAGCTATTCAGAATTTACCACCCCCAAAAACACAAAAAGAAGTTCGAGGATTTCTGGGAAGATTAAACTACATCGCCCGATTTATTTCACAATTAGCTGAGAAGTGCGATCCCATTTTTCGCCTTCTCCGTAAAAATAACCCAGGGGTATGGAATGATGATTGACAGGGAGCTTTTGAAGCAATAAAAGGATATTTTTCGAATGCTCCAGTATTAATGCCACCAATATCCGACAAACCATTAATCCTCTACTTATCAATCTTTGAGAATTCAATGGGGTGCGTATTAGGGCAGCATGATCAAACTGAGAAAAGAGAAAGAGCAATTTACTACCTCAGCAAAAAGTTTACTGATTGCGAGACAAGGTACTCACCAATAGAAAAGTTGTGTTGTGCTTTAGTTTGGACTACCCGAAGGCTCAGACAATATATGTTGTATCACTCTACTTGGCTCATATATAAACTTGATCCTCTGAAATATCTAATGGATGTACCTGCTTTATCTGGAAGATTGGCTCGTTGGCAAATCTTATTGTCGGAATTTGATATCCAATATGTAAGCCAAAAAGCAGTTAAAGGAAGTGTTGTGGTCGATTTCATTGCAAGTAGGGTTTCTAAAGAGTATGAACCACTGAAATTCGATTTTCCAAACGAAGATTTAATGGTTATTTCAACAGAGAATGCAGTTTCCTTTACTAATGAACAGTGGAAGATGAATTTCGATGGTGCCTACTTTAGGGCATGGGATTGGGGCAATTCTCGTCTCACCTTGTGGAAAACACTATCCTTTCACCAGCCGATTGAATTTTGATTGCACAAATAACATGGCCGAATATGAAGCATGTATTCTGGGTCTGAAAGCTGCCATTGAGCGTAAAGTGAAAATACTCGAAGTATACGGAGATTCAGCCCTGGTAATTTATCAACTCAGAGGTGAATGGGAAACAAAAGATATGAAGTTGGTGGAATACCGAAAGTTGGTCTTAGAGCTCATTAAAGAATTCGAGAGGGTGACATTTCATTATCTCCCCAGAGAAGAGAATCAAATGGCGGATGCTCTGGCCACTTTGGCAGCAGCTTTCAAAGTCAATGAATATTCAAGCATGATGCCTATTACGATGGAAGCTTACGGGTATCCAGCCCATTGCTATAGCATAGAAGAGGAAGATGATGGAAATCCCTGGTATTACGATATCCTGCAATATATTAAAAATCAAAGCTACCCTAAGCATGCCATTGAGAATGACAAAAGAACTATTCGAAGAATGGCGGTAGGATATGTGCTTGATGGTGAGGTCTTGTACAAGAAAAGTCATGATCAAGTCTTGTTACGGTGTGTGGATGCCAAAGAAGCCAGAACAATCATTGAAGAGGTGCATGAAGGAGTATGTGGTACCCATGCTAATGGACATGTAATGGCTAAAAAAATAATGAGATTTGGATATTATTGGTCAACTCTGGAAACTGATTGTATCAATTTCTCCAGAAAATGTCACAAATGCCAGATTTATGGAGATAAGCTCCACACCCCTCCTCATCCATTACATGTAATGAATGCTCCGTGGCCATTCTCTATGTGGGGCATGGATGTCATTGGGCAAATTTCACCCAAAGCTTCTAATGGCCATCGTTTCATATTTGTGGTAATAGACTATTTCACTAAGTGGGTAGAAGCGGCATCCTATGCAAATGTCACTCAGTCAACAGTTTGCAAGTTCTTGAAGAGAGAAATTATTTGTCGGTATGGGCTACCAGAAAGGATTGTCACTGACAATGCCTTGAATTTAAATAATAAGATGATGGAGTCAGTATGTAAACAATTCCAAATTAAACAACATAATTCCACCACTTATCGCCCAAAGATGAATGGAGCGGTAGAGGCAGCCAATAAGAACATCAAGAGGCTCATACAGAAAATGATTGAGACTTATAGAGATTGGCATGAGAAGTTACCATTCTCTCTGTTTGCCTATCGAACTTCAGTGAGGACGTCTACTGGGGCAACTCCATTTTCTTTAGTTTATGGTATGGAGGCTGTGTTACCCATCGAGGTTGAGATTCCGTCACTACGAGTGCTGTCAGAGGTTAAGTTAGATGAAGCAGAATGGGTGCAAGCTAGGTATGATCAATTGAACCTGATTGAGGAAAAAAGATTAAAAGCTATCTATCATGGGCAAATGTACCAGAGACGTATGATAAGGGAACATAATAAAAAGGTTTATCCGCGAGAGTTTCAAGAAGGAGACTTGGTGCTAAGAAAGATTTTGTCAATTCAGAAAGACTTTCGAGGAAAATGGATGCCAAAATGGGAAGGACCTTATATGGTAAAGAATGCCTTTTCTGGAGGAGCTTTGATCCTCACCGAGATGGATGGACCAGAGTTATCTAACCCTGTGAATGCTGATGCAGTCAAGAAGTATTTCGCCTGAAAAAATGAATGGGAAAATGAATAGAAAAAAATGAAAAAAAAGAAGGAAAAAATAAGGAAAAAGGAAAAGAAAAATAAAAGAAGGGTTCAAGATAAAAACCTGTAAAGGGCATCTTGAAACCAGAAAAGGTCTCATGTTGAAAACCCGTAAAGGTTGGCTTGAGAATGGTGTAAATTCAGAATTCGTGCATGGTGGAGGTTCTGAATTAGTTTTGAAAGCTTGATATGATAGTCATGGGTTAGGGTTAGAAATTGAAAAGCTTGGATAACAAGAAAGTAAACGAGACTCAAACGCTGGCTTATGATATCCAACAGTAGGGAATTTGGTAGTACAGGGGGAACTTCACACCCTTACGCATTACCACAATCATCAAGATCCCCTTGACAGAAGCTACACTCAGGTCTTTTTACGGCGTGTCATTTCAAAAGCATTCGTATTATTGATGTCTGAGGACGCCTACTGTGTTTTTTATTATTCCAGTTAAAGTTTGCCATGTATTCATCCAAAAACTCTTTATTTATAAATAAAAAGATGTTTTTAACCACGTTGCAAGCATACTTATTGAAAATAAAAACATGTAGATTAACTCGGGAAACATGAGGTCATTGTGCATTATTGTACAAAAGGTTTTGGAAAATACAGATATTCTGAAGCCGAAAATGGTTTTAGCATAAGGCTTATGCAATGTCATACCACAAGAATTTAAAGCCTTGGGATATACTTGAATACTCAACAATGTGGGATAACCCAAGAGGTTTTGTCACTGATTAAATAGCGGGTCATGAGAAGCACATGGGTTCAAAGAGTAAAGAGAATCAGAGTCAAGCTCAACCAAAGAGTGTCTAATCAGGGTTATTGATTGAGATGGAATGTTGATTGATATTTCGTGCCCAAATCAAATTGAAGGACAAGGCCGTTAACAAAATAAAATTCTCGTTTGAAAAGAAAATACGTTAAAAATAAATGCATCATTCAACACATTTTAGGCATAAACAGGACCATGACATAAAATGCATAATGATGTGTGTTTGCAGGTTCTCTTAAAAAGGACAAAGATGTAAAGACCCAACATAGAAATAACCAATTCAAATTTTCATGTTTTGTCGTGGCAAGACAAGCTTCCACAAGAAAAATCTTTTCAAAAAAAAAAAATTATCATCCCAAGACTTTCAGGTATGATGTTTTTGAATCCTCAAACACATGCTAACAAATGTTAATGTTTAATTT